ATCTCCTGGAAATCTGTATCCCCCTCTGAAACACGCATGCGCGTTTATCTCATATTATTTTTCTCATCCTCCACATATAAAAAGGTTTATACGTAAGACAACAGGATGAAAGTTGCACATAGCCTGTGTATTATTTCTTTCGGGTTCCCTGTCGTGTGTAACGGTAATTTAAGTTTTCAGTCATATGGCGGCGGCAATTTTTTTATATTACTTTAATCCATGGAAAACGCGTTAATTACACCGAAAATCTGATACAAACAACTCCTTTTCCATGCAGATCGTAATAAGCAAAGGCAGAGTCATACACGCAGAAGCTGGCTGTATCACTGAGTACTGTATCCTGGAAGGTTTTGGGGGTTGCATATGCCAGCAGGCATGTCACCCTGCAGTTAATCACTGACATCCCACTGAAGCTCAGCAGGCGTGAGCCTGGTCAGTACCTGGAAGAGATGTCTTCTGGGAAAAACTAAGGTTGCTGCTGGAAGAGGTGTTAGTGGAGCCAGTAAGAAGTGCTCACCCATTGGCCTGTGTGGGTCCTAATGCCCCAGTATAGGGATGAGGATACTATTTTCAATTTCTAACAAAATATACTTTATTTCCAAAAGAACATCTCACAATAGAAACATTCTCACAATCAGTAAAACATTCCAGCATGGTATGAATCTAACATGCAATAAAAACTTTCAGAACGTGGATTGTCCATTTTCAATCCATGCAAGTGGATGATGGGGCCAGATTTGCGCAATTTAAGAGTCCCTCCAAGCCCTACCACTTGCTTTTGTCCATTAGTCCCCGTACAGGGCCTAAAGTCCTTTCCAGCGCTCCCCCACCGCTCCCTCCCCACTCTGTGTTGTGCGGGATGAGAGTGTTCCTCGCTCCCACAGACCTTGTTTTGTTAGGGACAACAGCAGCCACAGCAGGAACTGTGTGCCCTTGTCCAATCCGGTTGGTGCCAGCCCCAGCAGGATACACTGGTAACTGAGCACCGCTCCCGATCCCAGGAGCTGCATACAGTAATTTGGTCCATTCTGCCCCACGCCGCTTTGGCAAAGGGGCAGCTCAAGAACAGGTGCTCCTGAGTCTCCTTGACGAAACATGTGCCCTGGGGGCAATGCGGGTTCCTGGTGAGGACCTTAAGCTTGTTGTCCAATTCCTTCGGTTGTGTCCTTTCCCAGACTTGTCTGGGAACCCGCAGCCTTTTGTCGGAGACCAGTTGTCCCCTCACCTCCTTGTACAGGGCTCTGTGGTTGGTGCAGTGCTCTGGCTGTTTTGTGGCCTCACACCTCCTCCTAGTCACACTTTTCTTTATCTCTGTGCTCTCGTGGTGCCTTTATTATAAAAGCCATTGATAATGAGAATAATGAGTGCTTTAAGGTAATATGTCAGGCAAAGAGGCGATGAAATAGACTGGGACTCTCCATCCTGATGCCGGAGAGCTCCTTTTCCAGCAAGTTTCACTATAAACCAATAGCTCAGCTGTTAAGGACCTGGGAAACTTCGACTGGGATCAGTTAAACGGGCATTCCTTTTATCTAATTACATAAATTAGGCATCATTTGGAACAAATCTGAAGCCACTTCAGTCCTACAGAACCAGAATCCCATTAACTGTGCAGATGACCTAACCTTTAACACGCAGGTGATTCGGTGTGATCTATAAAACTGGTTTGCGGCTCCCCAGGACCAAGATCCCAGCTCTAGACACCTACCGTGAGTCTTTCCATCCTCCCGCTGTTGGCTGTTCCTTTTCCTTTGCATTTTGTCATTCCGCTCCTACGCAGAGAGCTCCTTGTAATTAACAGCACCCCCAGCGAAGTTCAGGCTACTCTCCTTATTCTCAATTTCTATAGCAAGGGTGGATAACTCGCGGCACTGACTCGACAAACTCACCACCAGGAGGAGTCATCGGACAACATAACCTAGCATTAGGAAAAGAACGCACACTCATAAATTTGTTGAGGTTCTTCCACTCAAAACGGTAAAGATAGCAAAAGCTACATGGCGCACACTCTAGCGAGCTCGCGGAAAACTGGTACCACCAGCTGAATTGAACTGTTCTAAAACATACTACCTGGGAATTAGAATTGGACAGTTCCAAATCTACTGGAAAGGGTAAATATGAAAACGCAATGAAAATGACCAAAAATAGTAGGTAATAGACAGACCGAAATAAGATTCATTTGCGCCTCACTACCCTTGGCAAAAGAACAAGCTCTGCGTCATGAAATCACAATAGTCGCCGACTTCAACATACTGTATGTAGTTGGAGGGTCAATTTCCTGTCATTCAGGCAACACCAACAAAACTTTACTAATAAAACCCACCGTGTAATAATAGAAGACCGGCGACAAACGACCATTCGTCCCGCGCCATTTGGTAGTGAGTTGCCTATTGCTCCCAAGAGCTCATCTAGCTCTTTCTCGAAGGAAGCTGGGGTAACAGTTTTAACGAAATGCTGGGTAGATTGTCCCACACCCCTTGGGGTAAAGTATTTCCTGTTCTTTCCTTTAAATACAATACCACGTTATTTCCACATGTGTCCCGTGTTTTCACTGGAGTGACTCACCTAGGATCTGGAATACTTGTATCAGAACCCTCGTAGGTCCTGGTCCATCGCCGTAGAAGCAGGCCCAGTTTATGGTTGGTTGTCAAAGTAAAGTGGCCCTGGAAAGGGGTAACAAGGCATGGCTAAGTCTTTCATAAAAGCAATATATAAATGCAATCTATAAGTCAATCATACCTTAGAAGGTAGTACTGCAGACGAACATTTCCAGAATTGTAATATACAAAAAATAGGATCAGAAATAGTAAATAATAGATACAATAAAGTAAATAAAAAGAATCTGGTAAGAAGGCATCAGACTAGTGGTGATAATCACCATTTATCCGTATGCTCGTTAGGCTCGTGGTTCGATTGAAGGTTGACGCATCGCCTGATCCTGCTGTACTAAAAGACGAACAGCAGGTGGAGACACAGACCACTGCATCCGTATATATGTAAACAATGTGCTGGTGCAGGCATAGTGTTTTTTATAATTAAAACCAGAATTGTGTACCTCCCTGGAATATAATCATCACAATTCAATTTACACTTCCATAAGATGATACCAATAATTTGTTCATAATCAAAGCGATAAGGAACAGAGGTGAAAGATTAAATGCAGCAATCAGAGGAAAATGTTCTGTTGTTCACTTATATGGTTCTCAAGTTCTTAATCAATTATTTAAAGGAGAAAACTATGTTGTGAAAGCAAAAGAAGTAAAAGGTAAAGAAACTATTAAAACTTTATTATAATTACATGCAGACCGTCTTTTCTGCATTGATTCTTTTTCATCGTTTTAAGCACAAATACTGAGCCAAAGCAAAATCAATAGCAAAACCATAACAAAAGGTACCGTTGCTCAAAAGCACTAAAAATTTTCTGATTCTGTAAACCAGGGGGAATATCATTTAATTTGAAGGTCAACAAAAAACAAGCAAATCAGTCAATTCTGATTTTGTGAGTATCAAGGAAGAGGCAAGATATTGTACTGTTTGTCTCACTGATGAGAGTCAATACGTAAGCTTTTGTTTCTTTTTTTAATTCAGGAAGCTTTTGTCTGAAGAAAGAGCTTTCCACTAATTTCCATCTGACTTTTTGAACTGTGTGCAACTGATTTATCTTTCCGCTTTCAAAACCGTCACTCTTCCTGGTTCTCTGCACACTTGATAACAGTGTAGATTAGTTGAGTGGCTGTATAATCTCCCAGAATTCGATCAATGTCAATATGTTTATCACAAAGCAGCAATGAACTTATGACATGCATGTAGTCCATAGCTCAGTTTTTGTAACTTTATTTTTTCGCATTTTCATATTTCTTTAAATAGTTTTGTATATCTGCTTTCTCACATGAAGCTGAACAAGAACAGTGAAGCATGAACCAGTTATGAGTGGAAAATAATGCGAAGTGGCTTTAAAGGGGACACTACTCTGCACAGAAATGGTAGGAGTTTGTACGAAACTACCCAGCCATGCTGGTAGAGGCTGATGTCTTGACGTCTTTCAAGAAATGGCTGAAAAAGATTCTCAGATGAAGTAGGTCCTAGCAAACAAATAGGTCTGAATGACCTATTAGCAACCTTTCTGAAGTTCTTGAGAGTCTTATTGCATTTGGCAATTTGTAGTTGTTTCCTTCTCAGGATAGTTTTCACCTTCTCTGTAATACATAAAAGGACCTTTTTTTTCACCCATTCTTGTATTCACACAAGTCACATTAAAATGAATGTATGCCTCCAGAAAACATCAAACAGCAATTAAATTGTTTCATCTTTCACGGTACTAAAAGACCTCTGGTTTGCAATCAGACTATCCGGGATAAGAGCTTATTTATCTTGAGGCTCCCTACAGCGCGGTATTGCACATTTAATCAGTCAGGAATCAACACTTCGCTCTACCCACTGATATTTTTTAATCTGCAGCAGCAGAAATTACAGGGTGTGTCTTCAGCTGCCTTTACCATACAGCCTAAATTAAAGGGAAGTGCACCCTCTCATGATGTGGAGCGGTCCACCTTAAACTGCACCAGAGGAGTGGTGTAAAGCCTTTCCTAGGTCAGAAGGAAATTGTAACATGCTGAAACATTTAAATGTTGAGGAAACGAGAAACCCGTGGGTCTCCGAAATTAAAAGGCTTTTCTGAAAAGTATTAGTGCTCCAAACTGAGTACATTGGACTTTTAATAAAGAAATAATCTGATATGTAGAACATAATGTTCATTGCTGCAAGAGTGTTTAATGTAAACAAAGTCTTGACCAGGTATGACCCTGCATACCTTTTCGTTTGGAAAAGATATACAAGATTCTAGATAAAACGTGAGCACTGGCTTTTCAGAGCATTAAGACCTTTCATAATAATGTTTTATACAGTTCATGGCAGTTTATTATTATTATTATTATTGTTGTTGTTGTTGTTAATATTGTTGTTGTTATTTGCTTTTTAGACTTTATGAATGCCATTTTACAGAATTGCAGGTTTACCTAGAATACCTGGGAGACAGATTTGCGCTCACTCTGTTACTCCTCTAAGATTAAAATAATCCCACTAAAGAAAGCAACTCTAGTAACAACTATAGCATTCAAGGTACACTTTTGCATACCCCATTATCATTAATCAGTTTACTTATTTTTGGTCTGAATGTGTGTAGTAGGTTGTGTATGTAACAGGTTTTAATATTAGCATCTTTACAGCAACAAGGTGTCAAAACAGTTCAAGGGTCTGAATACTCCTGCAATGTTCTGTTAAGTGTTTTGGTGTGGAAAAACGCGTTACTTATTTCACATGCTTCAAGAAGAACTAAATCCGAACTTCATTTGACATTTAATGAAAATTAAAGATCTGGCACACACACACACAAAATATTCCCTTGCCTTTTCATTTATTCCAAACTTGAAAACTTCATAAGAACGAAACTGTCCGTGAATAGTTTAATAGAGAGTGTTTTTCCATGTTGCCTGGAAAGTGTCTCCAAAGCAAGGCTTAATACCTATAATTGTTTAACTAACGTTTAAATGGTCAAGAGATGCAGTGAATCTCCAGTTTGTATTTTACTGTTACTGTTACTTAGCAGCGGGTATGAAGCTGCACTGGCAGCTGTTTTCAGTCTGGGCACCTCAAACGCCCTGACGAGTTTTCCCAGAACTGCTTGCACCTGAATTAAAACTAATGATTCCTGCCGGACTGCCAGCGCCGTTTCACGACGCGTCTGTGTATTATGAAAGGATGCTTGTCACAAAAGCGACGAAGTGTGAAGAGAGTCATTTACATAGTGGTATTCGCATCTGTCTCTCTAAAATTACCGAGCACCGGATTGGTCGACAGTGAATCACACAAGTACTAGCCCAGTAACTGATTGGTTCTGTTGTGATCAGAAGTTATAGGCTGTTGTGCGGCTGGTGAACTTCCAAGGGGAGTTGTGACTTACAGTAACCTCTTAACAGTCGCAGGTGACGTCAGACCAGCAGTGGGAGAGCTAGAGGAAGAGAAGAGGGGGCAGGACAGCTCAAAAGCCAATAACAATTTCCCGCTGTCGCCTCGCCAGGTGGGTGTGTTCGTTAGGCTCCGACTTTCTTTAGCACAGAGGTGTGGGAGTCTAGCAAAGTAGACCTCTTCCACGGTGCACAGATAAATGATGATGACAAAAAAATGTTTGCAAAGGTCTTGGTGCGTAACGTGCACGGCGGCAAATATCCCATGATGTTCCTGTAAAAAAGCAATGCAAAAGGCGTAAATATCACCCAATAAGAGAAAGGATATTCATTTCCTATTTAAGGTTACGTCATACCAAGCATACCAAGCATGCACTGTTACACGTAGGCTTAGCTTACAACACATATATTTCGTCGTTTAAATACACATTTAAATATTACACAGCTGGTTTGCTCTGCATGTTGTTAAACAGTATGTGCAGCAAGTGCTGTGGTTACCTTTTCTAGGGGATGTGCAGAACTGACGTTTCAGCGGCGCGCTGACAGCCCCTGGAATTCTAGTCCTGGCTCCTCCACAATGGCACAGCGCGAGCGTTTTGTTTGTGTCTGCCCCATCAGCAGTTCATTTGTTATCCTTCACAATGCAGACAGCGAGCTATTCTGTTCCTAGTACTGCGTATGCACCATGCTGCATATAAAGGGGGGTCTATTACTACATTATTGCTAAAACAAAATGCATTACATATGTACAGATCTGTATTGGTCTGAATGTTATGTTGTGTCTGGTTTTGTACTTAACTGTAATTTAAAGGGAAAAAAACAATACACAGAAAGGCAAGTTACAGGCACATATACTGTATATTGTTGTACATATAAGGGGTATTGTTGGACACTGTAAAGGATGTTGGTGGACCAGTAGTTGGTGGGACTGTGTGCTGTAGGGAGTGCACTCCTTCAGATGAAAGGTTAAATCCTGACTACTCTGTCATCAGCATTCCCATGGTACTGTTCCTCAGAGCAGGATAAGCCACTGTGTCCTGGCTGATCTTCACTCTGGGCTTATCTAGTCTGTCCTAAAGTTCTCTCTGAGTGAAGAAGCACCTTCCCACTGCTCTGCCTGGCCCGCTGGCTCAGAACGGCTGCTGCGTGTCACCCAGGTGAGGCTGCACTTAAGTAGTGGAAGAGGTCGATCCCCCCCTGTGTTAAAAGTGTGTAGGGATCCCATGGGATGAAAAGTCCCTCATAATTATGTAGTATTATTAAGTATTTACATATGAAGAAATGCCACATTTTCACCCATGCCACAATTAATTTTTTCCCCAGTGTGAGCAACATGTCACCAAACAACATGACACGTGGGTTTGGTGTTGCTCTTCACACACAGTGGTCCTAAAACTACACTCAGAAACTGAGGCATTTTGAAAGAGAATTGGTTTTTAAGTCTGCCCTTTAAGGAGAAGACATTCAGCTGAAAATGTAGCAATGATATTGGAGCAAGGAACACAGAAAATACTTATAATACATACATTTGTCTAAAAGGTTATTTTTAATGAACAGAAAATGACTATGAACTTTAATTTTAAACAATGTTTAAAACCCCATCCTGGTCCCCATCCTATAGTTTTATTTAAAAGGAGGCTCTTTGTAAAGAATCTTGCACAATGTTTTATTTCTCAAAAGCATTTTCTTCCTCAGAGACATACATTGGCAAAACGTCTGGATTTCTCCTGCAGACAGTAGCACAGCCTCTGTTCCCAATCGCCAAATAAATTACCTTCAATGAGAACAAATTCTGTGTGGTTGGAAGTGCAGTAACCCTGAGCTGTTAACCAAGGTCCTGAGGTGAAAAAGGAGGCTGTAATTAAAAGCATAAGACACTATTGAATTGTGAACTGAGAGAGCCTTAATATTTAGACTATACAGGATGTGTTCTGTGCAGGAATACTATATATGTGGTGTGTGTTTATATATATAGGAGTTTACAAGATACAATTAGTAAAAAACATATTATATACGCTTCTGTTAAAGTCCTATAACAGTAGGAAGGGTTAGTCCTCTGCAACATGAAAGCTTTACTTGACCCTTAGAAGCATTTTTCCCCCTTATTACTCTCATCCTTTTGCACTGGTCTCTGTCAGTGTTTCTCTTTCTTAAGTTGCAGTGTTTGATGACTTGTGGCCATTGGTGTCCGTTAACCAGACACTACCCTTATCACCTGGATGCTTCCCATCTATGAAATATTATCATATTATTGCTAACATTACAGTATTTTCAAAAGGTCTTTAAATCTTCCTCCATTGCTGTTGTACTGCCCTTGCTGATACTGAGGTAAACAATTGGAAAAAATGAATTCTGTCTTAATGTGAGCATGTTGGAGTCACTAGTTTCAAGAATCTGTTAGAAGCAGTGTTTTTTTCTTTTATTGCTGACTTTGCACAAAATATTGCCACAATCCCCATGTTTACACAGTGGTGAAATCTATCACTTAGCACTTGCAACACTTACTGCACTGCCAGAGCCTGTCCTTGCCCTTCTCCAGCTGGCAGTCATGTCAGCCCAGGCCTTCATTCCATCTTGTCTGCTCTCAGTCCTTGCCTGCCCTCTCACCATGTCACTCATGGTACTGCACTCACAGCAGCTGCGAGGATATTAGGTGACATGGAACAAATAAAGATTTATTCCGTGCTCAAAAGAGAAGAAAAGCAACACAACGTTTCGGCTGTGGAGCCTTCTTCAGGGGTGTTGACACATCTATTCAGCCTATTAGGTGCCATTCAGATTTTTAGTTTATGAAATGTCACTCATGTCTCTTTTCAAATGTAGGATGAACTACATTTCAGTTAAGGAAGTGAATGCAAGTCCTGATCTAAAAGTCCTTTTTTTTCCTTTGGCTCACTTACACTTTGAATGCCTGGCCAGACCTCCTGGGAAAGCTAAGGTTGCTGCTGGAAGATGTGTTAGTGGGACCAGTAGGGAGCACTCGTCTTGTGGGTCCTAATGCCCTAGTATGGTACACCATACTGTAAAAAGGGGGCTATTCTTCAATCCCAGGGTGTTTTTTAGATTAGATTTTTAAATGGGGCAAGTGCCATCATTGTTTTTGACCATCCAACACTGGAGTTGGAGGTGATGTGGTCAGCATCACACTCTGGCTGGCCTATTACCCCTGGAAGGATTAACCCCTGGTACTCATTGGGAAAGCAGGCTGAGTGGACCTGAGAGCCATCTGGAAGGAATTAGAACAAGTTCCATTGCTTTCCCCTACCTGGGATCGAACCTGGGACCTTCTGGTTAGGAGCTAGACACCCTTGCTGTCTGAGCTGCCACTATTATGTTAACCCCCCTGGCTAGTCCAAATTTCCCTCCTGGCCTTTACCAATCATGGCCTCTTAATAAATGCTATTTTAGCATTAATATCTTGCAGCAATGTATGTGTCCTAAGCCTTTTGTGCTGAAACAAATGAGGAATGTTTTGTTGTGATGTTTTAACGATTGTAAGAGTGGGGCAGTGATGTCATGGGGCGGGGCGTCTCTTTGGGGTTTTTGTTTGGGTAGAGTCTCTCTGTTCCTGTGGGGAGGAGAGGTGGGGTGGTGGTATACTTTAAGGATTAAGTTTAGAAGAAGGAAAAAGCTAGTTGTTATAGTGGGGAGCTATGTCAGTGTGGGTTGGCTGCAGTGGAACAAGTGAATGTTTAATTGCACAGCAAAAAGGAGATGTTGCCAAGATACAGGAGTCTCATGTGAAACAACAAGGTGATTTGTTGATTTTTAATAAGTATTGCTATACAGCAGTCTTCTCTTCAACAGAGAACAAGACACAGGAGACCTCCATTGTATTACAAAGGTATTTTCAGACTTCTGTATTGGAGTCAGAGGGCAATACATTTGGGGAGACAAGTATGGATGCAAATAATTATTTCAAGTTAAAAAACGAGAATGGCATTCAACCTTTTTTTTTCTGACCAAATACCTGCTATAACAGTGTCTGAGATGTAAAGGCTGTCATGAATCATGTACATGACAGATCAAAATTGAAGGTGTGAAGCACTCAGTCTCTGGCATGCACAGCACTGTATGTGTGAGCTCTGTGTGAAAGATATCTGGTGTATATTTGGTCCCTCAGCCAAAGAATGTACGTTGTTACAGACTATAAGGAAACAGAAGTAGCTCTTGATGATAATCCAGGGCTCCCAGACAAACTGAATAATTTCTGTGGTAGATATGGAGTACAGAACTGCCATCAACAAACAGTTAACACACCTCTAGAACCACCTACATCTCCCATTATCATCTGTGGACAGGAGGATAGACATCTGCTTTGCAAACAAAATGGCAGGAAAGCTGGGACCCCAAATCATGTTTCAGGTGCAACTTTAAAATCTTGTGTAGATCAGCTGGCACCCACTCTTACTAAGATTTATAATGTGTCACTACAACAGTCTGGGGTTCCTGCTTATTTTAGGTCTGCTGTTATTATCCGAGCGCCAAAGAAATTGAACGTAACAAATTTAGATGATTACAGGCCAGAAGTTTCATAATCAGCCATTATGAAAGTGTTTGAGCAGCTATTTTGTAAGTATCTGTCCAGCATCCAGGAAGATACACACCAATTTAGGTACAGGGCTAACAGGTTTGTTAAGGACACAGTCTTTCTGTGCCTTCACTCCATCTTTCAGCACCTTGAGGTCCTTAGCACATATCTTGTTCGTAGATTACAGCTCTGCCTTTAACACAGTAGTCCCCCAGAGACCTTTTCATAAGCTAATTGACAAGGTTGTTAATCAATCAATCAATATGTTTCTAGATTTTATATCAGGCAGGAGGCAATGTAGTCATGTGGTCAAAGTACATCAGAAGGTCTTACAGCCACTGGTTCTAAATACAGGTGCCCCCCAAGGTTTCTGTCACCACTTCTGTACCCCTTTGAAAACTAATGACTTTGTATCTGCTATTAAATCTGTGAAATGAATCCAGTTTGCAGATGATACCAATCTGGTAGGGCTAATAACAAAAAAAGACAAATCGCTGTACAGGAAGGAGGTCACTGCTTTGGTGAGCTGGTGCAGTCAAAACATCTCCAGCTTGATGTTAGTAAAACCAAAGAGGTAATGTTTGATTTCAGATGTGACAGGAAGGAATTACAACCTGTCATGATTGCTGGTCAGATATTGAGGGGGTAGGAACTGGACCTTTAAGTTTCTTGGCACAACAATCTCCATCTCGAAATGTGAGACCAATGTACAACTTGTACAACTGTAAAAATGTGTCTTTGGCTTTGCCCATAAGACGTACAGTACATCAAACAGACACACACAAAGCAAAACATAAAAATCACATAAAATCACATACAGGTGCATTAATAATAATTATTATAATTGCTTACACTTATATAGCGCTTTTCTGGACACCCCACTCAAAGCACTTTACAGGTAATGGGGACTCCCCTCCACCACCACCAGTGTGCAGCATCCACCTGGATGATGTGACGGCAGCCATAGTGCGCCAGAACGCTCTGTGGGGAGGAGAGCAGAGTAGTGAAGCCAATTCATAGATGGGGATTATCAGGAGGCCATGATTGGTAAAGGCCAATGGGAAATTTGGCCAGGACACTGGAGTCACACCCCTACTCTTTTCGAGAAACGCCCTGGGATTTTTAATGACCACAAAGAGTCAGGACCTCAGTTTTACATCTCATCCAAAGGACAGCGCCTTTTTACAGTATAGTGTTCCCATCACTATACTGGGGCATTAGGACCCACATGGGCTGCAGGGTGAGCGCCCCCTGCTGGCCCCACTAACAACTCTTCCAGCAGCAACCTTAGTTTTTCCCAGGAGGTCTCCCATCCAGATACTGACCAGGCTCACACCTGCTGAGCTTCAGTGGGCTGCCACTTGTGAGTTGCAGAGTGATATGGCTGCTGGCGTAATTAAATAATTAAAGCAGAAAAAGAGTACATAATAGATAAGTAAATAAAACGTGGGAGTAATTTAATTACGTTCATTAAGCAGTTTTTGTTGTTCATTTTGCCATCCTTAACCATGGCAACAAACAGGACAACAATTGAGAGCTGAGAGCATATTAACTTTCTCTGTGACAGTCTGGTTGGGGAACTCACTCAGGAGAGGAAACAGCTGAAGAGATTGGTCCACTCTGCTTCTAAAATTATTGGCTGTGACTGACACCCTGTTGCTTCCATATACGCAACACGTTTAAATCCGAAAGGCTACCAGTGAGCACTCCCAGTCACCTTCTCCCTTGTTTGAAATCCTTCCCTCGGAAGGACGGTTAAGATATATCAAATCTAGAGCAGAGCAGCTCCAGAATAGCACCTATCCTGAGTCTATTCAGTCTCTTAGCTCAACACTTTTATAAAAGTAGTTCAGGTAGGTAGCTGCGTCAGCATGTGTAGGCTGCAAAGGAACAAGTAATAGGTTTATTCCATGCTGAAAAAAAGAAGAAAGAAAACACAATGTTTCGGCTGTGGAGCCTTCTTCAGGTGTACTGGTACCTTCAGGCTTCACACCTGAAGAAGGCTCCATGGCCGAAACGTTATGTTTTCTTTCTTCTTTTTTTCAGCATGGAATAAACCTATTAACTAAAAGTATTTATTGAAGTATTGATTGGTAAGTACATTTGAGGATCCTATCTTCATTGTACTGTAGAATCATACTTTATTTGGTATATATGTGATATTTATGATTTTCTTTCTTTCGTTGCATGTTCTTTTATTTCAAGCACACCACAGTAAGGCAGTAAGACTGACTGAGACTTTGTTCTCCACTTTTCATTAACTGTACTTCAGAATTGACTATTTTTGCTTCTTTTCTCTGTTGAACACAATGCTGAGATGTTGCTTTCAGATCACCATGTCAGTATCCGCAAATGTGCACTAAATATATCGTTGTGTGCACTCCACCAGCCATTTAATTCTCTGGTATTACAAAATGAGATGTTGCAGACACAGTTTAACGCTTAATTGGCAGTTTCTTGGTTTGTTTGAAAATCCCTGCAATCCTTGAGTCCTTATCCAAAAGGCTTTACTTAAAGTCATCATTAAAAATAATCCTACCATATTTGCCCCACAACTGCATAAATCTGGTAAATCTGGTGTCAGTAGAATTACTGAGTTGGAAACCTGAAGTGCCTTTTCTAGAGCATGCTCTACAGCTCTCGTTTTCATTGGCTATTCAATTGGAAATCATCATTTTCATCAGAAAAGAAATCTTAGACATACTGTATGCAATACATACAAACAATATTTTGAAGTTTATAACTACAGTGATATACTGTACGTGAGATGTAAATATGCTAATCAAACCCTGTTCTTAACTGATCTTAAGCATTACAAATGTTCAATTAAATTATTTTATGCCAACAAGCAACAATTGTTCCTGGAATAGCAGACCAGAAAGTCTTTGGTTTCCTAAAAACATTCCTTGCTCAGTAAGCAACAAACACTAAAAAAAGTCCAAGTCCAAGAAATAAAGTATTGTTTTTTTGTAGTCCCATTTCCTCTTGGTTCAAACATTCTGTAGGTTGCATAAAATAGCAGACAAAATATAATGCAGTTTTTTTATTTGAATTAAGAAAAAAAAACATAAATTACCGTGGCATTATAACAAATACAAACACAGTATTTCTCCCCCTTAGAAAATATACTTAATTTACAACACATACAGTGCATTAAACATTCTCCTCAAATGTGCCTGATAAGTTATTTAAGGCATTTATAATTCATCAGTCAATACTGGAAAATAATTGCACTGCAAAAGATAGAGCAACAGTAATTAATTAAAATTACATTTTATTGTTTAGTTCAAAATTTCTGAATTTAATTTCAGAACTGAAAGTGCACATATTGTACCGTACAACTTAGTTTTACTTTCCTCAATATTAATGAACAACATGACAAACATTTCTTTTGGATCAATAACTCTAGAAGGGTCATGCAAGTGGAATGATGTGGTCACTTCAGGGTTAATAAGTGCTAAGGTTAATGTTCACCTGCAGGTATTAAGACAGCCACCAATGTAGCACCTGTTTTGTTTCAAAGTTTCAAGCTGAGATACCACACTTTCCGGTACTCCTAAGGCTAAATCATCTGTCTGAATTCAACAAAAGCCCTGCTCCATCAAAGTCAATACTCCACTCTGCTTTCAATTAAATAGCACACTGCTTTGTCTAGTTCTGCACTTTGGTAAGTGTCTTGTAAGCTGCTTTACATTTCCATGGGAAGCTGGCTCACAACAGCAACGGAGCTGAGCAAAGACTGTGAATGGTGTTATGTACTAAGGCTTTGGGAACAGTTTCTCCAACAGGATTTGGAGAAACAGGTGGACTTCAGAACAGGACTTTCCAAAAGACGAATACAAACCCAACAATAGGGTGTGATTAAGAGCAACCTAAACCATAAACATCAGCATCTGATCTAAGAAGAGCTTGAATCCTAAGGTAACTGAATGATGCTCTTCTTTATGTGAAATGAAGACTCAAAGCGTACCTCTTCAATAACAATTCTGTCACATCTCTCTGAATGCTGCACATTATCCAGTGTTGGACTGCATGTTCTTCCTGCGGCCCTCTACAATATAATACTGGTAGCTACTATTTACTGTAAACACACGTGCTGTAAGTTACAGCAACACTGAGTAAGAGACTGAATGCAGCTGCATACAAAACATTAAATGCAGGAATAATTTGTAATGATACATCTTCCGTTTTGGATGCTATCCTCTACTTCCTAAGCGCATGAAAGTGCAGTATTATTAAAAACCCTGATTTGGCTTCCAATTCAAAAATTATGTTTTACAAAACTCAGACATTCCACTTTTTTGTGTGGCCCAAAATGTCAAAAGATTTTTGGACAACCTGTTCTAAAATACAACTTGTTTGGACAATGTATTTTCAAGTGGGGACAACAAATGTTATCACTGTATATAAGAAACAGGTTCCATTCAGTTTCATTCATTCCCTTACTGTGGATATGCTTAGCTGCAGCTCATTAAATTTGGTCTATTGTCAATCAAACATCCAGCAGCTTCACCATAGCTTTGTTCAGCAGTCTCTGCCAGCTCTCTCTTGTGAATGAGAGTGAGCCCATTACAGCCACTGGGCATAGAGAATTCTAGCACAGGGCTGCAATATGAGCCCAAATTTCACAGCTAAGAATGGCTTTGTTTTTCTCCAGCCCACACGGGTTCTACCGCTTCAGTTAGGAACAAAGAAAACAACAAAAAAATCAGTTACGAAAAGGCCTGTTCCCTTTAAAGCTAATATTAATCCTTACGAACTAGGAAAACGTTTACTTCTAAAGGGTTGTGGAGCCATTCACACAACAGAGAAGCAACCCCCCGAAAAAAAATACTCTGCACTTATTTTTCCGTTTTTTTTTTTTCATTATTTTTCTTGTGTGCTCTTTTTCTTCTTGGCGTTCCTGAATCCCGGAGCCTCCTAGCCACTTCTGTGACTGCCATCCCCTGTGCGCTGAGCACGGGCCATGACCAATTCCTGTGGCACTTTCTTGCAGTCCGTAGCCAGGCCCACAAAGCACATGAAATCAATGAAGCAGGTGGTGAGGTTTAATTTGCAACCAAATTCACTTGTTGCATAGTCGTATGGGAAAGTGTGGTGGTAGTTGTGGAACCCTTCTCCTGAAACAAAAGCAAACAGAAGAGTTATCTCAGGTTAATCACATAGTAGCACTATCCCTGATTAATATTTACCACACTGCAAATATTTTCCTCCACATAGCAGTATCCGACAGTTTAAACTTGACAGCAACAGCAATGAAGCAAGGCAGACAATGCTATGTATTTTTCCTTCATTGCCTAACAAACACTAGGCCTAATTTAAGCAAAATAAAAGCTAGCATAATTGAATGGTTACATTGTGTTCGGCAGAACTGAAGATCACAAAAAAGCTTCTCAAATATAAAGACCGACTTCAAAAACAATGTTCATTCTTTGCTTGAGCCTTTGTAGTCAAAACATTCCATGTACTAATGCAAGTGAAATTATTTTCTTAAGTATTGAATGGTTATAATGTTAAGCAGTTTTGAAGTGAAGATTTTATTTAACTTTATGTCACTAATTATGCATTATGTGTAGCTACAGTTATACCTTATTCCCTCTGCATTTACACACAACATAATGAACTGAAGAATTTAGAAGAAATAAAAAATTCACAAAATTCTCACAATCATAAGTACAGTACTGTTATTCACGAAGTGCACTTTTTTTTTTAAATGCACTTAATATACAATTCCCGAACTGAGCTCAAAACATTAAAACACACTCCAGTTGAATCTGGAATCAGAAATGTTATTACACTTGAAAGAAATAACTGTTATACAAGAAAACTGCTAGCAATTAAGGGATCAAATTTATAAAACAGAAAGTTTTCCAACTGGACTTGCCCACCAAACAAAGGGAGTTATTGTGCTTAAAGCAATGAAAACTAAACATCAGAAAACAACAGTGAATTACAAAATTGGACTGTTTTTATATTTGGAAAATTCTGTGCTTTTGTTACAGTAAAGACTTCATTGCAAGGCTCAGACATTGTTTTCAAAGCAAGCCAAAGCACAAGGGCACGTACTGCATTTGCATTTCGTGCTTTATATAGAGATGAAGGGGGTCTTCAGAGAACACAAGGAGCAAAGGAAGCACTTTTTTGCGAAGAGTGGTGGTGTGTGGAATAGGTTGGCTGTTCTCCCTGATGTAGGGCATCAGGGAGAAGGAGTGAAAGTGTAGTGAGGAAATGAAAGATAAGCATACATAGAGAGGTGAGGCCTGAACCAGCTAAAGAACTGAGAAAATATTTCAGAACATGTCATTACCAGCAAATCCCATTCAAACTACTAAGTCTGGAGATAACTGGTGAAGAAGTCCTTGAACAGGACCAGACTGGGTTTTGTAATAATGATTTGCTAGGCAGCCAAGGATCCACTGTGGCAGGAAAAATGATTAAGCAGCTTGGTAGGGGAGAATCGGGAACTGTAATGGCTGTTTGTGAAATCTGTCAAATTCAAAATCAATTGGTAGTATGGAATGAGAGCAGTTTGATATGGCAGTTTGCTTGTGAACAAAATGGCGATCATTTTGGTATAAGCAAGAATGACACTGAGTCACATGCTAGTAGTATACTCACTAGAATGCTAACAGACATGTTTTGAGCTAGCCGGCCACACTTTTAAAATTGCATAAATAGTTATGGGCCGCTTATCAACAACCAAGTAAAAAATGTTGGTATAGCTGCCATCTTGGATTACTCAGGAAGACCTATTTCATACATACAAGTTACAATCGTAGTAAATTTTTAAGTTTGCTAGTTGATGGAAACTGCAAAGTTTCCGTTCAGTGTTGTGGTTAACAAACCATTTCTGAGTCAAGTGTGTTGATCAGATTTCCTTCTTGACCTCAATTATTGACACATATTTAACTTGCTCCAGTACACTTGCCTAGCTGCTAGAGTGTCTGGTCTTCAAACATGTACAGTTTTAAAAGTAGGAAGATAAAAAAAATTTGCAATTGCCATAGGGCAGCTTCCCTTTTACATGGTGACTAATCATGTAAAACTTACCTATCGCACTGAAGGTGACAAATCTGTTCTCCCTGGGGCTGATATGCACATCATATGGCCTGTTTCCCCACAGGTGGGCAGCACTGTTCACCAACCAGGTGGCATTCAGCACCAGAGTGTATCTCAGGATTCCAGGAATGAAGTACCCCACCCACAAAGACTCTCCCCACAGGTACCAGGGCACAACCGTGGGAAAGACGAAGCACATCAGAACCACAGACATCTTATAATTCCTGAAAAACATCACACAAAAGACGGGCCCGGTTATCTCAATTAACCCTTACACTTCTTTTGATTTCAAAAAGCACTGAAAGTACTGTTAAGATGGTTAGTTTTTTCCCATTGAATTGGTACAGATTATGATTAAAATTTAACACAATAATCCTCTACGGATTTCAAATCCAGGGAATGTTAATGGCTTCTGACAGGTGCAACAAACTCCTGCCAAACAATGCTGCAATGCTTAAAATGTCTTCTGTGCTATTTCATTAATCCAGGAAGGCTAAGGAGCATTTTGTGAAAATATCTAAGACTGTGTAGTATACTCTTGGGATTTTTTTTTATTTGGAATAAGCAATTATTTTTTGTTATGTACGCATTCGATTTGGATTTTTCATTAGGCCAATTGTGAGTTTTTGAAAAAATTAAAAATGGCCAATGATTGTTTGCTAGATTTTCAGTTTGAAATAGCCAGCTGTGCTTTTCATGTCCCATCTTGCAGCAATCATCCTTGTGCCTGCACAAGAGAAAAATGAGCAAGTGTAGGCAGACTCCTCCAGCCTGCCCTCCTTTGAGCTAATCTCTGAACATGACACAGGTAACTGTTACGCATCCTGCGCGCTCTAACAAACGCCTTCACATTCCCACACGCACCCACTTAAACAGACCCTCTTCCTATCGCCTTTCACTCCAATCACTACTTGAACCCTCCTCTTTCCTTTACCGTCGCTCACTATTTCGGATGTGTGCGTACCCTTTTTCTTTCGGTTTGATCTCTTCGTTGCTTCCCGGACTCTCGCTAGTTTCTGACCTCGTTTCTGCCTTTTGCAATTTGGATTTGTTGTCTCGACTGAACTGTCCCAGCCCAGTTTTGATTTCGCCTGCCCATGGGTTTTTGATTATTTGGACTTGCGTATTTGTAACTTTTTTTTATAAGGACTTCCTGCAATAGCATGGGGAAATCACCCTGCACAGGTCTTTATTTTTTAGCATCACAATTACTAACAGTAACAGACTTCTGTATTGGAGGATCAGTGCTAATTGGAGGAGAGATGTGTCCCTGACCTACAGTACTGTTGGAAAGCCACGGGGGTCGCTGTGTCGCTGAGAGGCCAGCTAACTCCACCCCACCCTCAGGAACGCTCAGCCAGTTGTTCGCCACAGCTTGGAGAATCCCAATCACAGCTGATGACAAGACCCATCCTTTACCAGCCGAGTCACTGCATCACGTTCTCAAGCAAGAGAGTCAAAGTATGCATTCTAGCCTCCTTAATTCCTTAATATTATAGCCACATCTGGGGTTTAGAAAGTTCTTTATTCTTCTGATGCTGGTAAAAACCTCAAACCAAGTGCCCCACAAGAGATCATGGCCAATTAGCACAGATAACGCTGGAAATGCTAAACAATTTACTTCGGATTCATCACTCTGCAGTTTAATGTTGTTCAATACTTCCTTCAAATGTCTTACACATGCAACTCTACTAATGGATTCCTTTAATAGTAAACACAGAGGTAAATGGAAATTATTTATGTTCTTCAATTATGTGCATTTCCTAATAGGTGGTTTTTTGCCCAACCATTATAATTCCTTATAATTCACAAGACAGAACAGAACTCTGGCAAAAAAGCAGGTTCTTATTGAAGCAGACAGTCATCTCCATTATTCAAGTTCAGGTGAAAAAATATGCAGGATATAAACCAATAGTCTACAGATCATAGCATTATTTTAACATGCCAAAATGGGGAATATCAAATCTTTAAATCTGACATTCATTTTGTTCACGTATTTTATTGAAGTGGAGCTACTGGTGCAGAATGGCTGCTGCACATCATCCCGGTGAAGGCTGTAGGGTCCCCTCTTATATGTCGAAATGCAAGAAAATAATAATTATTAAAACTGTCAAGCATTCATACTTGGAAAGACCACGCTCACAATTACATTACAGTAGATACTGTATAAAGTTTTGGAAGCATCAAAGCACAGTGAACGAACATATATATTCTGGGGAAATGGAGATTTTAAAATCTAATACCATAAAATCTAAGATGGATGAAATAATCCTACACAAAAAAAGAAAGAATCATTTACAGCAACGAGCAGACTTGAACGCTGGTTCATTTACAAAGCAAAACGAGTCAATGACCAGCGTGTGGAGAGAAAGCTGCACCACCTACTTTCTTTGAAACATGACGACGGGATCTGCCTTCAGATCAGTGAGCTCCAGCTTGCTTCCCTTTTCAATGACATCAGGGTGTTTGCGTACCAGGAGCCAACCAATGTGAGCAAAGAAAAATCCTCTTCCGGAATTGTGGGGATCGGCATCTGTTTCAGAGTACTTGTGGTGAGCTCTGTGGTCCCGAGCCCACTCGTAGATGTCATTCTGCAGATTACGCACAATATAATTAGCAAAGATTCTGCTCACCTATGACCTGCCATTTTTAAGTAACAACAATTAATACAGAGAACATGACTGGAGATCATCATCCTGTTTCTTAAGCTAATAAGCTTGGCAGGCATCCAGTCAGTTATTATTACTAATAATTATCTACCCATGAGCCTCAGTGAAGGGGACACTGATGTGATTATATGCCAGTTAAAAAGATTTCCTTCACAGTCTCTGGCTTTTCTCATCTCTTCAAAGAGCGTCATTCACGTAGTACTGGGAGATTATTGTACTGTACCTGAAAAGCCATTGAATTGGCAAAAGCGAGGAAGATCCGCAGGGGCAGTTTGGCCTTATAGGACCTGTGACTCCAGAGTCGATGTGCCCCAGCTGTCACTCCTAAGGCGCTCAGCAGGAAACACAAGACAGCTGCCCAGGGACAAGGAAGAAAGGAAGCGTTAAAACATGTCCCAATGCGAACAGTCACAATTATTCCAGTTACATGCCTTTTTAACTCTGTTCAGACTAACTAGGTACAGTCCTTTCCTAAACCAGCATTAACTGTACCTGCTACTAAGACTAAAGGTAGCTGTATGTACCATTAGTGCAGACTGCCGAGGACCTGTGGGCTCTGTGACCATGAGGCAGGCCTGAAAATTGGCTCAGAAGGACACAGTTATCGGCTGACCCAGCTAACAATGGGAAGTCTATTGCAACTGCCATTGTTTATTGTTCTTCTAATATAATATTACGCCGCCTCAGCACTGCCAAGCTTAGTGCAATGTTAGGATGAGGGCTCCGTCTGGTAATCTGTCCTTTAGAATGTCAGTAAATCCACGTAGATTAACCTTTTGATTTATATCAGCACTTATATGTGTAGGGAGGGACACAGCACTGTTTAGAACCCATCTAGGAGTTCATATGGAAATTTGGAATGTGTGCAGCCTGTTATGGAATTACATGGGTGAAGATACTGGTTCTCACTCCTGATCCTGGAGGACCAGTGCACCTTCTGGGTTCTGCTCCAGCCAAGGCCATAATCATGATGAAATTCATTCTGATTTTCTGTTTTAGGCGTGTTGTCTAAATTCAATCCTGAATTTTCTTTAAACTCTTTAAAACACTGGATGTTGGGGTTTGTGGAATTTGTCTCAATTCCTCAGTTTCGGAATTCCCCTTATTCAGGTGTGTTAGCCGAAATGTAACCACCTGGGCTAAAGCAAAAGGGGGAAAAAAAAAAATCAACAATAAACACCGTGGAAGTGTTTGACATACAGTATGCTTTCACACCTGCATCCATTCAACATCCAACCTCCTGTCACCTATTGACATGTTTTCAGTCATAAATGAGGGAGCAGGTTCTTCTGTATGCTTACAGTGTTGGGAATATTATACTATAAATAGGTATTTTGAATCCAAGGACAGAGTGCAGAAAAAGGCTCATTAAACAAACAGATCAATCAAAGGCATCAGCTGGGCAGAAGTGATTAAGGGCCCTACAGGCACAAAATAATCAGCAGATACAGGGGTCCAAGTGACCACTACTTCACTTCAGAGCAGGGGTGGGCAACTCTGGTCCTATAGAGCTACAGTCCAGCAGATCTCACCAGCCCCCCCTTAAAACATCAATCTGTAAAGATTATAAGCACACATGATTTTTTTTTCAGTTTAATAAGTGAATATGTTCAATTAAGAAATGTTTTTCCATAACCTATTAATTAGCACTTATAAAAAGAGAAACAAAACCGCTGCAACAGTCCAAATTCAACCAGGGGATCATCTGCATGGCAACAGCATTCAACGGATTCAGGAGACAGCATGTCTTCTTAAGGGGCATGACTCGTACTTGTGCAGATGTGAGGAGAGGCCACAATGATCCAGTAACCCAAACGAGCTGTGAGTTTCTGGGACGGGACTTGCCAGCCAGGTGGTTAAAGCCCAGACTCTGGGCACTTTTAAAGAGACAGCTGGAACATATTTTACCAAATGAGCAAGATGGGTCTAATGACCTTCCTTCATTTTCAATCTTTCTTAAGTCCTTATGGGATAGTAAACATGGAATTAAAAGGCAAGGCCTTACTTAAATAATTTGTCAGTATCTGTTGAACAAGTAACAGTACTAATGGATATAAAGAGACTGTATGATATTGTGTAGTAAGAATTTCTTAGGTTTTTGATAAATTCCCTTAAAACAAAAGATTCATTCCAGAGTTAAATTATAGAATCAGCTGGCATTGTAGAAGCTGCAAAGGAGATTTTAAGAAGAATCAGACAAAAGTCAGGACTGGGCTAACACCTGGTAGAAGACGGTGATGTTTAATGTAGATTAAGTGCAGAGTGTTATATGCAGGAAGCAGAAACAGACTAAAAAAAGAATAGAAAAAAACAACTTGAAGAAGACATGTAATTATGAACAACATATATTATAGGTGTTTGGACTAACATCATTACCATCTTCTAGCCAGATGTTTCACACTCCTGGTCCAGGGAGATGGTATTCTTAATCACAGACTAATTGATTTCTATTTTCCATTTTAAGCCTATTTGAAAAATGTCTTTATCTCTTAAGGTGTTGAATGGGATGTATCATCGGTATCAACCCTGTGCTTATTCGTGAGCTTCAGAGCTCCCATCACTCAAGTGTGTCAGCTGAAATGTGACAAACAGGACATAAACCGAAGGAAAAACGCTGACACAATGTGTGTGCGTCTGACACTGTGTCATTCCCACCCGTCTATTGATCACTGGCCACCTATTAAGAGCATTTAGTCACAAATAAACAAGCAAATTCTTCTGTGTTTGTTGTTGTATGTAATGCACTTTAAATGGGGAAGTTTTGAAACCAAGGCCTGAGTAATGAAGCAAGTAGATCAATTACTGGCACCAATTAGCACTGGTGATTAAGGGGCACAGCTGGAATGAAAAGCAGCACACAACAATCCCCTCAGGACTAGGAAAAAGAACCTCTGCTCCAGACAATGTACATAAACAACAAGGCAAACATATGTTGCAATAAACAGTTAAAACTAGAAAAAAAGGGTTATTATAACTATAATTTCATTTAAGAATACTGTGGTTCAGCTTTGGTCACTGTGATACATAAAACCAATATCATAACTTCTTTCAAAAAACATCTGGCTGAGCAGGACGTACTAGACCCACCTGGCTCATTTGGAAGTTAGGTAATTGATCCAATCTCATTCAGCCCTTTCTTGAAAAATGCCAGGGTATCGGCTTCAACGACTGCGTAGCTTGTCACTCACACAAACTTATGGGTAAAGAACCCTTTGCCTCCTATGCTCTGTTTAAAGTGGATGTAGTTCCCACTTGTGCCCTCTAGTTCATGTTTAGCTATTCAGTAATAAATGAACATTTAATGCTATCAAAGGGCTAGTACATAGTTCCTATAAAAAGCCAAACACAGAGTTTTCCTCAGATATTGAATCTTAGATTTTATCCTTTGGAAGGAAGGATGTTGTAACTACACAGACTACTATACTATATTGACTGCAGATGCAGGTACTTATTCCTCATCTGATGCAATACAAAAAAATATTCAGTGTGAGAATAGGGGAAAACCACTAAGTTTTATAAGGTTACATATGACAACAGCATCACATACTGTATAACCTGGAAAGTTCTGCACTGGCAGGCTTTCACCTGAAATATGTACATTAAGGATTATCTGGTAAATTAAGACAAGCACAGGAAACTGATACAGTACGTTCTGCTGAAATAAAATGCTGGACTATGCTAACAACTCTGAATCAGACTCAACAAGTGTCATTTCTGTACTGTACTTTTCATTTTTATCAGCAGCTAAGAAAATGATTTCCTCACTAAACAATATGCATTCAGTTAGTCTTTGCCTCTACCCCATAAAACAAATGGAATTCCCTTAATGAAGAAATACTTCACTAAAATATTAGGATTAGGATTTTCACACAGTTTAATCAGTTGCGTTTGTAAGTAGTGAAGCTGAACTGTGCAGGCAAACTGTTTCAGCTTGGTCTCAGTAAAGGAGCGTCTGCAGGCTTTCATTCCAGCTCAGATCTGTATTATCTTAATTCAACCACTTTACCAACTTCTCCCAGCTCTTCAGGTGCTGCTGCTTTAAAAAGTCTAGAAATCCAGCCCCCCCAGGTCCATGGCGTGTTCTGCGCTTGTCACGTTTGTAGGTGTTCAGATTCCTGGCCTTCAAGTTTTCAATTTCTAAATTCTACATTCAATCGCTTAATTGAACCCCTAACTGAAATGAACCTTTTTGCTTTCCCACCACTGAAAAGTTTTCAAGCCACTTTAGTTCTGGGACTTAAAACGATTCAAAAAGGTCTAGTTCAAGTATAGGTAACTTCACTGCTCTGTGGCTGCATTCCTGCAGGTTTCAGCAATACTTTCTTTTTACTCCCAATTAACACATAAAATAAATAAATGGGTGTCTTGACCCATTCAAATAAAGCTGATTTTGGAACGGGACGTGAACTGCCTATTCCCGATTTAGTTGGTAATTATTAGGTGAATCTGGAGTTCAATTAAAATAATCAGGATTGCCGGGGGGTGTTGAATTGTATACCACTGTGGAACATGAAACAGCAAACATTTGACACCAGGACGCTGGATTGGAAAAACAAGTTGTAGGATTTCTTTTTATACCTCTAAAAGTTTAATATTTCAGCGGGTTTCGGCGAGATCCAACACTGCGAGCTCCTGCTGGTTACAATGAGCAACAATTCAAGCGGTTTCGCTTCTCACTACAGCGTGTCTCCAGTAGGTGCTGAGCTGCGAAAGGATCTCTTTTCGCCTCAGAGGCTCTCAACAGCACTAAAGCGACTCGGTGCCGCACGCATCACATTTTAAATTCAACTACGCCACAAAAAATGTGTAGGCCATTTTGAATGAAAGAAGTATCACAGATCGTGGAAATCATGAACTGTGGCAACAACACTCACCCCACATCAAGGTCAAGACAGAAGCAGAGGAAACCAGGGTCAGCCCATACAAAGCTCCTGCGTGCAGTAAGGACATCAAGATAACGTTTCTCCATACAATTTTCCTGGGAGGTTTCGGACCCTCTTTTTCCCTGTAAGTCTCATCAAACACGTCTTCCACCGTGGACTCTGTCGCAACCTCCCCGTTTCTGCGTGTCTCCGCTGTAGTCATCGTGAGCTAATTCTGCGCTTCTTGCCAGCTACTAAAATCTAAAAGACAGACATTTTCTTCGTTTGAGTGTACATTTCAAGAAACGAGAAAAACCGTACCTTTTCGATTGCTGCATTTGCTAAATATGTTTTGCTTTCTCCCTTAGGTTTTTAGATTTAAATATGGTTTTAGAAAAATAGGAATACCAGTAAATGAAAACAATGTTTGATTAGCACTTACCTTGAGAGAAGCAGCTGCTTTAAACACACTGAAAATGAAAATTATGCAGTGTGGATCAAGTGCTACAGACCACACAATAAGCGCTTGTTCCTGTGCTGTACTGTTGAGGTACTCACGATGATGCTCTCTACCTAAGCTTCTGATGTCGTTTTAGGGAGGAGGTACTGAAGAAAGTAATTGGTCGACAGTTTGGTGCCATCTTATTCAGCCAGTTTCATTGGTCCTTTGGTATCTGCTGTTAAACCTTAAATTTTATTCATTCATGGCCGGTGGGTTTTTTTTTTCGCAACGAATGTGTGGGTAAATAAATCGCGTAACTGTACTCGGTAGTTTCACAATTAAAGTTTCAAAGAAAAAACGACGCCCGATTCTGGTATTGTCTGCTTCCTGGTTGGTGTCATTTGTTTTCGTTCAGACGCTGCGAGTCAACGTCCGACAGTAACCCGCACTAAAAGTAGGTCATCCTGACGTCTCACAGCGCCTCTCTGGGGGAAATAGAATTTAAAAACTCCAAACTCGTTCCTCCCAGATCTAAAGCCTTCAAGCGGTGCCTGGGCGGCTGAATTATTCATTTAAACACTGCGGCACGGCGGTGTGGCGATTATTGCTGCTGCCTCTCTCGCAGCTTCCTGGACTGCGGGTCCGATATCGGGCTTGCTGTCCATCTGTGAGGAGTTTGCATGTGGGTGGGTGCCAGGCGCTCCGGTCTCACCAGTCCAAAGACACGCAGTCTAGGTCAGCTGGCGTCTGTATAATGTCTCCCGTGTTCGTGTGTGTTCGTGTCCTGCGGCTGACTGGCGTGATGTCTGCACTGTTTCCTGCCCTGCACTCATGGTCGGGCCGGTTAGGCTCCGGCTCGCCACGACCCTGGACTGGACTCATCGATTATTGAAAAATAATGGAGTTGAATCGGGTAGGCAAGCTAGCAGCGAAGCAATAAGGGGATACAAAATAAATTGAAGATGCCGCGGAGTTTTAAGATATTGTGAACATTTTGGATAGCACTGCTGATCAGTTTTTAAGTTACTTGGAATAAAAGCAAAACGACAAAAATATTACACATGCAAATGAATAGGTATATTCATCCTAGTGTAACACAATTAAGTAAATATATTAAGATTTACTTTATTCGAGCTGTTTCACCTCATCACAAGACGGCGTTTACCCTTTTAAAATCTTTTTTTCCTAACTGATTCTCACGCTTTTGAAAGCAATAAATATTACATCATAAATCCTACAGAAAATCACCAGAATAATATTGCTATTATTCTCCCGTGAATAACCATAAATGTCATTTCGACAATAACATTAATTAGTTTTCACTACTTCAAAATAAAATGCTACTTCTTAGCATTACACTCAGTGAAATCATGTAAAGTAACAATAATCACCGAACTTGCCGACTAAATCGAGTGAATACGATATCAATACCCTCCATGGAATCTAGACCTAGTTGCTTCCTAAAATAAAAATATTTTTTAATAAATCTTAATTCACAACACCAAATGCAACGTATTAACACTGTATAACTGTATAATCTTCCTTAAATTATAGTTTATTGGAGACTTGACAAGTAAATAAAGACGATTCCTTCCCAACGCTGAACTGGATGAAGCGGTTAGAAAATGGGTTTATGGATATTCTTCGATAACCCTTCGTTTTCACATGCTGACAGAAGCTCGGTTTGTAATCAAAGTATAAACTGAAAGAACTAACCCAGGATAATTCTGATGTATTCAGACATTACGAATTACTCCAGGTCTGTAGCTTTACGTGTAAATATACAAAGACGGATTTCATTCGAGCTGCTTTACAGCGCCACAGGACGGCATCTGACCGCCTCCATGCTTCGGAAGTCAAGAAGCGTCGCTCGTGCCCCCTGCTGACAGATCAGTCAATTTTGCTAAGGAAAGGTTCGACAGATTAATGGAAACATAACGTTATATATATTTTATAGTAGTGTATAATATGGTAGTGTGTCACATATACGTGAATAGTAAGTTTTAACTCCCTGTACCTTAACGTCTCATTGTTTACATGCCTATTATTATCAGTTATTAGTTGCAGTCGGCAAATTTCAATCTGAGGAGAAAAGATTCGAAAAAGTCTAGAGATGTGCGCCACGAATAAAAGTTTTATTTGTTGTTTATTTTCTGAATAACCAATGTATCTGTTATCCAGGAATGTTACAGGCATGTTTAAATGTAATATTACAGGAATGTTAGTGTTTATGATGTGATAAATTCGTAAAGAGTCCACAACGTCTGCTAGCTTACTCACAGAAGTACATTGTTTTCATACACTTTTGCTGCGATGCTTGCTGCTAGCAAGCTTTATATGGTAAGCTTGAAAGTCGATAAAATCCATCGCCATTGATTTTCAATAACTGCTTGGTCCAAAACGGATTTGTGGTGAGACACTATTTAAAATAGCAGACAATGGGCACTATTCTGGGTACTCACTGTGTCACTGGGTATCACAGGACACAAGCACATGCATACAGGGGAGAAATTCAGAGTAGTCCCTCAAATTCCAGGTAACCAGTGTACCCAGCTGTTTGAGTGTCTGAGCTGGAAGTAAAATAAATTAGAGTTTTGTCAGGCTAGACACCATGTTTCATGAAGCATGCAACCTATGAGTAACGCATAGATGAAGGCCCCAATAGAGACCCCTGAGGCACCAGTACAAACAGCTGTTACTGTAGAAGTATAGTGTGCAAGGGATACAAGCAAAATCCTGGAGTCTAGTTCTAAGGATAATTTTTATTCCACTATATCTTTAGCATTTGCAGGGTGGAAAAAATGTATTTTTCCAGATTTGAATTGTCTATATATAAAATACTTACAGAAGATAATATACATATTGTTTCAACTATAAGCTGCTTTTACAGTTCTCTCAGAGATGTTAGAATGTCTGAGTGCTTTTGAATATACAGTATTACCCATTGATTAAACAGGGAGAACACAATCCCTGTAATCAGTGTTTTATATGTCAGTATCCAGAATGTTACAGCTGTACCTAATATTTGTTATTAAAAATGCCTCCAAAATGACATATATAAAACCACTAGTGACATATGAGGAAATCCACAGTCAGCAAAAAGAATCGACAGCTATTTAGTAAATAATGTTTGCAGATACATGGTGAATTTAACAGGAGGCTTTGGAATTTCACATTGTTTTTTTCAGTGTAAAAACATTTTACTGATTGCTAGACAATGTATGTTTCTTAATAACACTGACTAGTGGGTAATATGTACATTTATTTGTTCTGTTTGTGATCATAGATTGGTATTTTGGTATATTTCAATGTAGAGTAGCTTCTTTATGAAAAGTATGGCTACAAAATGGAGATTATAAAAATGGAGGAAATCAGAAATAAGCTGAGCGCATAAATCAATAAGTAAAATAAACTTAGACCAAGAATATACCGTACTCGAGTGGTTGGTATAATTATGGCACATGATTTCTTTATTCTCAGGCACACTTGGTTAAAAATATTTATTGAAAATCAAAACTCAATTTCAGACACTAGACTTGACTAGACTTCAACATATAACACTTTCCTTGGTATCTTATAACAAAGAATATCATCAGGCGCCTCTGCAATAACAGGATATTGCACAGGCCTCCAATGTGTACCAAAGGTCTAAAATTAGACAACAGACAATACAATTCCTTTTTAGGGGTTTCATTAGCTGGAACAGGCTCTGACACCCCAGAGGTCCAATGTGACACACTATGTGAGAGAGGTGTAGCTCCTCAGGTGCAGGATTGAAAACAGAAACATCTGCCCTGGGAGGCTCAGTTACTCAGAAGAGTTTTAAATATGATTCAAAACCAAATGGTTATCCAGTGAAGATAAGCCCGATAATATATAATCACACTTTTTACCAGTTTGAATGAGTGTGTTTATGAGTGTGACGGGAAGTTAAAATCTAGAATTGTTCAGAACTGGTGCTTTTGCACACACTGGTAAAATGTCAGAGCTCCCCTTTGTAGAAAGTTCTGAGATATGTATGTGTGTCTGTTTTAAAAGTACATATTGCAGTCCTATTATATAATTACAGATTTTAATGTTTTGCATCATAGACAAATTTGAGATGCAAAAAAAGCCCGGTATTGTGAAATGCATAAGCACAAAAGAAATCCAGTTCATAGTGTTATTGGTGTTTTGATAGTGATAGTTTTTTTTCTCAGAAGCAAAGAAACGTGAGTCCCATATTCCATATTTCTGTTTTGAAAATGGTGTGGTATGACTGCAATCATATGTGTATACACATAATATGTATATTGTTATCACATATACAAATCCTTGAAAATGGTTTATTGTGTGTGCATTTGATTTTAATTTTAGCTTCCAATTTTTTGCATTAAAAAGGGATATAACTAAAATCAAAAAGTTACGATTTTAAACTTTACTATCGCTGAATCTTGAAATTACAAAGCGTGTATGATGAAAACCCTTTAAACAATACATTGTACTTTCCCTGTGATCACTAGAGTCATGCCAAGCACAGAGGACAGCTGGTGACTGACTTTCCTCTGTGCTGAATCCTGCATGATTATACATGATTTGGACCCTACACAGTCCTGCAAGAAGGAATTTGGTAAATATAGATGATGTGAATGTGCAATGTAAGCAGACTAGATGTTGATACTGAGGATTTGGGGAAATCCTATTACTATTACTATGATATTAATTTGAGACATATTAAGATATCACCCCGTCCAATTTCCCCAGTCTGCTAGGGCTATGTTGGGAGTTCCTCAGCAGGCTCCACTCCATTCCCCCAGCTTCAGTATCAGCTCACTGTTTCTGTGCTCCTTGCCTCAAGGTATTTAAAGTCTCTGCACAGTACCTCTGTTCCGCTGTCAATGTCTCTCTTGGTCTGTGGGCCAATAGCTCCTCTTTGCTGTGGTCTCACAGGCTGCGGCTTCCCTTGCGCTGTCTGTGTTGTGTCGAGGGGCTCGTGGGAAGTGGAGAGAGAGCCCTCTGCTCAGGCTCAGATCTTTTTATCCCTACCGTTAGCCAATCCCCCCTCAGGAGGGTTTCTACTGGCTCTGTCAGGGGGAAGTGTGCCCAGTAGATTATCAGGAGGAAGTTCAGGTCATCTGTGAGCTGTGCAGCCCTTCAGCTGTCATAAGTCCTATCGCTTCATTGTCTGCTTTTCAGCCCCCCCACGCCCAAGGTCTGGGTCTAACCGGCTCAGCAAACCCGCACACGTCCATGCATCAATACCTAAGGTGTGGTAATTGCTTCCTAGCTGGAAGAACTGTGTGTTCCTTAATTGTTGCTAATTGTTCCCTGCTCCTCATTAGAATACGTGAAGCTGAATACTTTGGGAGGTGACATACACCGACACAATCCTGGCCACTGACCCAATTTCATAGCCTATTCCTCCTTCAACAGTTTGCATTCTGTGACAACAGCAGCCCCTTTTTTTTACATCCTGATCATGTCAGGCTCTCATGTCTATTTTTTTATAGAATATCCAAATATAACAAATAATACAACATCCTAAAACAATCATTTCAGTGAAATTGAGTGACTATTTTTTTATTCTGTATACTTAGTTTATATTTAAGTTTAAAAAAAGTCAGTGTGTTTTCTTTAATTGTATTGTGTTGTTGCAGATCTTCAAGACTGCACTTCTGTATTCAGTATTAAAGAAGACAGCTGTCTTGTTTTTTCATCTGCTGTGACATGACAAGTATTAAGTATCATGAGGGATCTCTGATTATTCAATCTTCGACTCTATTAGGCAACTGTGGGTGGAATTTTTTTTTACCTTTTACCTTTAATCACTGCAGTGACCTTATGCTTATGCAGACGGGCTCCAGCATAACTTGTTCTCGGATAGGCTGGTGATATTTCAGCACTGGATGGCAGTGAGATGAGTTTACACCACCCCATAACTGTGCTTTGGAAATCTGGTCAGATGTAACATCGAAGTCCAGACAGACTATGTTCTGTCACAACATCAGTTTGGACTGGGCTCTTGCCAGTTTGTGTCAGCCAAGCGAGGAGTGGAGGGCAGGGTGGCGCATAGCAGGCTGGAAGAAAGGTGAAAGTATATGAAATACCTTACTTCAGCAAAAACGTCTAAGATTATTTACCCATTCACTATGTGACTAATCTTTTCTAAAGATGACTAGAGTCTCCTGACTTAGGCCTATGAGTGTGGGGCCTCATGCTCTCGGTTACACACATACAGGTGACACAATTTTTGCTGTTTTAGTTCTGTACTCCAGCACATTGGATTTGAAATAGGGTATTTACGAGGGTATTTACGTCTATATTGGGTGAACCATATAGGAATCACAATCCTTTTTATACATAGTCCCCTCATTTCATGGGACCAAATGTAATTGACATTAACATAATCTTTAATAAAATTTGGCATGTTTGCAAATCCTTTGCAATTGATGACTGCCTGAAGTCTGCGACCCATAGACATCACTAGATGTTGGGTATTTTTCCTGGTGATGCTCTGCCAGGCCTGTAATTCAGCCATTTTCAGTTCCTGCTTGTTTTGGGGGGCTTTTTGCTTTCAGTCTTGTCTTCAGTAAGTGAAATACATGCTCAATGGGACTCAGGTCAGGTGATTAACTTGGCCAGTTAAAAACATTCCACTTTATGGCCCTGAAAAACTTCATAGTTGCTTTAGCAGTATGTTTGGGATCAGTGTCCTGCTACAAGGTGAAGTGCCGTCCAATGATTTTTGAGGCATTTGGTTGGATCTGAGCAGATGGATTCTGTACACTTCAGAATTCATCCTGCTGCTGCCGTCTGGGGTCACATCATCAGTGAAGACAAGTGAGCCAGTTCCACTGGCAGCCATACATGCCCAAACCATGACACTACCTTCACTACCTTCACCATGTTTCACAGATGAGGTGGTTTGCTTCGGATCACGAGCAGTTCCATTTTTTCTCCATACTTTTCTCTTTCCATCACTCTGGTACAGGTTAATCTTCATCTCATCTGTACATAAGGCAGATGTACATTCTGTACATTGTCCCAGAACTCTAGAGGCTTTTTATGTACTTTTCAGCAAACTGTAACCTGGCCTTTCTTACCAGTGGTTTGCATCTTGTGGTGAACCCTCTGAGATTATGGTGGTGTATTCTTCTCTTTGTGGTAGTCTTTGACACATCTATGCCTACATCCTGAAGAGAGTTCCTGATCTGTTCAACAGTTGAAAAGGGGTTTTTCTTTACAATAGTATTCTTCGGTCATCCACTACTGTGGTCTCCTGTTGTCTACCAGGTCGTTTGCTATTGCTAAGCTCACCAGTGCATTCGTGCTTCTTAACAGTGTACCAAACTGTTGATTTGACACACCTAATATTTTGGCTACGTCTCTGATAGATTTATTCTGATTTTTCAGCCTCCTGATGGCCCACTTTAATGGCATTAACACTTCTTTGGTCCACATGTTGAGAGACAACAGCAACAGACTCCAGATGTAAATGCCACATCTAGAATCAACTCTAGACCTTTTGTTAGCTCTCTTGTGCATGAACTAACGATGCAACGACACACAACTGGCCAAGAAACAACTGAGCAGCGAATTGTCCAATTACTTTTGGTCCCCTAAAATGGGAGAACTATGCATAAACGCCAGCAGCAATATCACCCTGCAACTCACAACTGGCAACCCACTGAAGCTAAGCAGCTCCTGGGAGGTGCTGCTGGAAGAGGTGTTAGTAGGGCCAGCAGGGGGCGCTCACCCTGCGGTCTATGTGGGTCCTAATGCCCCAGTATAGTGACGGGGACACTATACTGTATACAGGCACCGTCCTTTGGATGAGACGTAAAACCGAGGTCCTGTCTCTTTGTGGTCATTAAAAATCCCAGGGCGTTTCTCAAAAAGAGTATGGGTGTAACCCCGGCGTCCTGGCCAAATTTCCCATTGGCCCTTACCAATCATGGCCTCCTAATAATCCCCATCTATGAATTGGCTTCATTACTCTGCTCTCCTCCCCACTAATAGCTGATGTGCAGTGAGCCTTCTGGCGCACTATGGCTGCTGTCGCATCATCCAGGTGGGGCTGCGCATTGGTGGTGGTGGAGGGGAGTCCACATTACCTGTAAAGCGCTTTGAGTGGAGTGTCCAGAAAAACGCTATATAAGTGTAAGCTATTATTATTATTATTATAAAAAGGTCTGTGACTCCTATATGATTCACCCAATAAAGAGGTAAATATCCTCAAATTAAAGCTGACATTCTGCACTGTAACCTCATAGTCATTGTTTTATTTCAAATCTAATGTGCTGGAGTACAGAGCCAAAACAGCAAAAACTGTGTCACTGTCCAAATACTTATGGACTGCACTGTATACTGTATTGGACAGTCATGTAGAAATTACTGGAGAAATAATAATAAAAACAGACAAACACACGTAAAATATGAGGCCCAGTATACTGATTACTGCACTCTTATTTTTAAACAATTTAATGAAACTTGTAACACGAAGTCAGGGAGTATCAGTTATCTTAATACCCTGTTACCAAACTTTGCTGGTCAAAGAGTACAGTTCTTGTTTTGCTCATCGTTACTGGCTGGTGGAAATTGTGTAATATACTTATGTTTCACTGCACTGTGAATTGTGTCATAATTCAGGACTGTGAACTATGTATTTTATTTTTTCCAGTCATATCAGGCAATTCGGCCTTTCATATTCCAGGCATTATGAGCTCTGACCCTATTCTTTGCCATGAAAGGGGGTTTAAAATATTCATCAAGCCAAATCATAATGTGCAAAGATATAAACATTATTTAATCAAACACCTAAATTATTTACAACAGTAAAACAATACATGCAAGAACAATATTCTAAGATTCTATTCCTATTCTGTAAGCCTGGAAACATTTTAATTCACAGCATTTTCATTTTGAGAAAATGAAATAGTATTATGCTCCCTTTTGAGATTTCCTGTTCTTCATTACTAGCTCAGGCAAAAAAATTCTTGCATTATTTTCTAACCACCACAACATGATTTAGCAGGAAGGTTTCATTTTGAATGTATGGAATTTATTTGATCATATTTCATTCCAGTCCGAATAATGGGCAGCACAATAGTACAGGAAACTTTTAGTGGTATTGTGTAATGTCAGAGTCTGAAGTCTACAAGTTACAAATGAGCCAGCTTGTTGACAATTTTGTAGCAGGAGTGCACTTCAGTGCAGTCCAGTGTCCATAGAGGGTTGTTATGACAACTGGGGCTCCTATAAAATGTTAATGAGGATAATCAACTTCTGTTGTAAATAAAAAACGCGGCTGTTTCCAAACACAAAAAAACACACAAAAAAAGTTCAAGCTCATAATTTGTACAGCCTTCATATAACATTTATGAGTCCTAACTGCCCTGTGGCACTTGGAGACATCCCCTCACAGAGGAATCTCACTGAGCAAACATCTCTCCCCGATCTTTTGATGAGGCCTGTTAGTCATCTCCAGTCCAAAGTGCAGAACAAGGCTGACAGATTGGATTTGCAATGTTGTATTTTTCTATAAATGAAATATATATGCATGAGATGCAATTTTGCCATTCAAGCACCAGAAAGTGTGAAATACAGTTACACAACAGCCTGTTCCATACTCTCACCACCCAGATCATCGTGTATTAGAACATGACATAACTTATGATAGTTTACTACAATAAGTTTGCATTTATTGTATTTGTACACTTGTGTTCTTTTCTTTCATGTACCTTACCAGCAGTACCAACAGTGTGTATCACAGTTTATCATAATATCAGTGAAATTTTAATCCACCACAGTTGAATAATACTGTGACATATAGGGAGATACAATTACACAATATAACTTTAATAATACTGCACTGTCCTTGGGTTGTTTTTCTACCAATTTGGGGAGGTTCTTTAATGATATGATGAATATTTAAATCGGTTTTAAAAAGTTTTCCATTAGCGATTCAGCTGACAAAGCAGATCAGTGAGCCCTTAGCTAATTAGAGTTTGGGAGCCTATGCCCTTCTGCTCAACACATGTGTATGTTTTATGAGCATATAAAATAACGCACTAATCAATACTGTAACACAACACACAACAGCAAATGCAATTACATGATGTATTATACAGATCAGACCAGTTAGATCCAATGTGAAGGCAAAGGTGGCAACCTTACAAAAGGAAAAAAACAAAAGTGAACACTTTTTCTATTCTCCACTCTCTCCTCACCCCTGATCTCAGATTACTCAGAAAACAAACAGAGCCACCTGTGCTTTGTCAGCTCCAGAAATAGACTTTGTGTGACAGTGTACTCTAGCGCTTCCTGCCAAAGTTGCCAGCTTGTGTTTAATTTTACAAAAACATGTTAAAGTGAGCGGACAAACTTCACCAGTTTCTAGTCAGTGTCCCACCAGGTGGCTGATTAAGTATCTGGAGAGAATCCATAGAGCTTTTTAAACTGAAGATATCTTTGGAGACCATAAATAGAATTACAAGACATCTTTAGCAATGAGCACGAAAAGATACAGAAACTTTCTCTCTCTGATACTTCCAACGCGAGCACGACATTTCAAAGAGCTAACAAGTAGACCAAATTCTCAATTTCAGATGATAAATGCATGCCTCTATGTGACTGTATGTGTGCCTGTACACATAACTGTCTTGCCCTTGCAGAACAAATAATTTTGTAATTATGTTTTTTTTCTAGACAAGCGTGTGTCAGCTGATGAGGGAGCCAGCAGAGCTGTGGCTGGCGATGCCAATAACCTTCAACAGCACCTCCTATTATGCAACTAAGTACAAACTGTTACAGAAGTTGAACTGAAGTCACCTCTGTTTGTCATACCATGCTGAAAGCAACATGGGAACCCCTGACGTTCAATAAGCACACATAAAGCACAATTTCTATTATGGTGACTTGCATCCTTCACATTAACTTGGCTTTATAACATTTCCATGCTTTTCAATGTATGTTGGCTCTTCTCCAGTTGACTTAGCACAGTGTAATGTATGCAGAGTAAGAGCTGCGAAATCAGCTGATATATGTTTCTTCTGGACACTAAGAAGACATTTTTGTCTCGGGTATGAATGTATCATCCATGCATCCTTGTGCTGCGTAGAAGGTACTCAGTGTCTAGAAACAAGGAAATACATTCTTGAGATAATGATTTCAATTGAAAGTAAATTTCAGTTGTCCTAGCCAATACAGTCTTTCCCAATTGAGAGTTTAAAAATGTACACAAGGCTGAAATTGAGCTGTTTTACAGAGCCATTATGTTTTCCTGGAAGAAGAGGCCATAAACACAAAAGATAGTAGTAGATAGTAGACTGCATGATTATGTAGAACATCTGCTGATAAAGGGCTATAAAGGAAAAATATGCAATTATTACAGTACTAAGCACCATTCAACAAATTAAAATCAACACTTAGTAGGCTAACGCCCCCTAGTGTGCAAATACCTTGCTTACCATGAATTTAACAGGGGTTAAGTACAAATCAATGGAGTACATTAGGGAAATTATCAACTATTAAGTAGCAAAGTATTTATTATTAGTAGTATTAAATTCATCTTTAAGGACTCTATATGATGATAATTATGTTAATTTTTTTTATACACAGTCAATATTTGTGATGACATATTGGAATAAACCTGGATTGTACCTCATTCAGATCCAGAAATTCTACCTGAACTGTCTCAACATCCAAGAGACATTGGTAGAGGTTTCATCCTCCCAAGGGTGCCGAAACACTGGCTCCAAAATATCTGATGCTTAGGCATTTCAGAGTATACAAAAGAATCAGATTAGAGTTTTTCCTTATAGGTTTGCTATATTTTTTATTAAACAATTCATATTTATCAATGACACCAAATATTTAGTGGAATATATGTGGAAATTGTTAGATTTCTAATTTTAATATTGACTGTTATTCCATGTTCAACCAAGAGGTACTTGGGCAGAAGTCACTGACAATACAATATCATTGCCCAATTCGAGTTCTGAAAAACGGGCAAACGCCTTTGCAATAAAGCTTCAACGAATGAGCTGATTGGTGCAGGCGTAAAAATGAAGACATCACAAACAGAAATAACACTCAACAATAATTCATATAAGAAGAATTTAGAAGCTGATGCCGGCCTTGACAATTGTTCTCGCTCTCTCTATGGAGAACAAGCCCCCCTGGTCCCCTGCCGAATGATGTGTCCGCTATCTCTCGAACACCAGCAGCAGCTCACAGTGAGCGGTGTGAGGAAACATGTCCACCGGTGTGGCGGACGTTGGGACGAAGGGATGCCCAGTGAGCTTCTTCTGCCCGTCAGGGGGACAACAGAGGTCCCGGAAGTTCCTCATGGCCTCCCCTTCGGGCTTGCAGGAGACGTAGACCAGCCGGCGGAGGGCAGTGCAGTTTCGCAGCGCCCGGGTAACGCGGTAATGCAGCCCGGCGCGGGAGGGGTTCACCACAGCCAGCAGGTCCGGCTCCGACCCCAGAGAGGGCACCAGTCCCGGCAGGACCTCTTCAGCCTTGCCCGGCAGGAACCGGCAGTTGGGGACGCCGTTGAGCGCGGCGTTGTGCCGGGCGTCCCGCACGGCCTGCTCCACCACCTCGATGCCGACGACCTTCCGCGCCCTCCGGGACAGGGAGAGGCCCAGGGCGCCCGTGCCGCAGCACACGTCCAGCAGGGTGCCCGCCCCCTCGGCGAAGCCCCGCTCCCCGACGGCGCGGTACAGGACCTCCGCGCCTCCCGTGTTCACCTGGAAGAACGCGTCGGCCGAGATCCGGAAGCTCAGCCCCAGGAGCTCCTCGTAGATGTGGGGCTCCCCGCGCAGGAGCTGGTATGGCGAGTCCTCGTGGCTGCAGCGGGTCCCGGAGCTCTCCTGGAAGTAGAGCGAATCGAGCTGGCAGACCTTCCCGGGGCCGCGAGCGAAATAGTCCGTCAGGGCCGCTTTGTGGGCGCAGACCTCCTCCTGCGTGAGGCGCTGAGGGTGGAAGTACACAATGGCCATGGTGCTGCCCGCTGCGTTGGTCCTCACGGTTATCTCTCGCCAGTGGCCTCCCTCGTGGAACAAGAGGCAGGGCTCCAACGGGGAGAGCCGGATGAACTCTTCATAGCACCTCGCCACCAGCTTGTGCTTGGCCGGCATGTTCTGGAGATGGTCTCCGCGGACACAGACGATATCCCGGGCCTTCCCAGTCCCCACGTAGAAGCCCACGGTCTTCGGGTTGCCGTCCGGCCCTCTGTTGACCGAGAAGGTGGACTTGTTCCTGTACCCATCTGTGACAGGCGAGGGCAGGATGGGCAGCAGGGGGAAGCCCAGCTGGCCGCTGGTCCAGGGCAGAGGGGACAGCGGGTCAGCTCCCTGCGCCAGCTGGGCAGACAGCCGAAGCAGGACTGTCCTCTGTGCCTCATACTTCACCCGCAGCTGGTCCTCGTAGCTCAGCCTCCAGAGAGGGGTCACGGCATCGGCCAGCCTCTCCTCCCAGGACAGGTGTTCATTACTGAGGGCTGACGGGCGTTTCTTCTTCCTTCTCTTCTGTTGAGGCCGTGTTTGGTCAACACCGCGGTCTGGGTTGCCATCCGTCACCACACAGCCGCCAGAGCACCGTGGAGACGGACACAGAGCTCCTGGTCTTTTCAGCTTCAGGAACAAATGTGACCATGGGGATCTTAGATACAGCCATGCCATCATTCAGAAGGCAATCTGCCATGAGTTTAACCAATTAAACTCAGGTCTTACAGGTCTTCCTTAGAAGTTTCACATATTAACAGATATCCTCGCATAAACTTTTACATTTTACCTACGGTATACACGTCTGATATAAAGCGATCTACATCGATACTAATACCTGCGATAGGAAGACTAACCTCTCGGTCATGTGCTGGGCTGCTCTTGTCGTTTGACGTCTAAATAGTGTGCCCGAACTCAATGGCTGTGTGACGTCATATGAAGGAACCGGCCAGCGGAGATCTCGCTATTTCCGCGATGGAATCAAACAGGGATGAAGCAGAGCGCTGCATCGAAATAGCCGCGGCGGCCATAAAGAATAACCAAACAGATAAAGCTCTTCGGTTTCTAGAGAAGGCACAGAAGCTGTTTCCAACAGACAGTACAAAAGGTAAGAGGGGGCACTCAAGAACTACAGCTGGCAAGCCACAAATCCCTTGGCCGGGGCTTTAATCCTGCCCGAGAGACTGAGGCCCTGAGGGACAGAGGCACCAAACAGCGCAGGCGCAAGGGGCTGAGGCAGACAGGACTCTGCTGGTAGATGTAGTTTTTTTAGGAGTATGACTCCGTTGTCCGGCGCGGATTACATCTATTTTGTATTGCCGCAAAAAGAACGGTTTAAGAAAAAAGGGATCCGGTTCCCCGTCCAAGTTTGAACTTAATGTTATGTACAGCTGTCCCTAATTTAGACCAGATCGTTTGCTCATGGACTTCGTTTCCCAGCGTCCAACAGTGCTGATTCAGCGGCTAGCAAATCTCGGTAGGTGTTCTGGTAGTTTGTGTTTCTTGAAGTTATATATTGTTCACTGGTTCACAAAGAAAGTGTTTGCTTTGGTGTGTTAGAAGCATCTCGCATATACCCGAGTTCTGCTTTTTTCCCATATCTTTGTGGCTTTATGTTTTACAATCTGTCTTTAATGCGTTACTGCCTTTGTAGGCGACGAAAAACACCTCGCGTGAACTACATTCCCCATGTCCAGGACTAAAGTCTGTAAAATGACTGGGGTAGGAAAATATCATTCCTAAACTTGCACAATATTTCATTGTACGGTTGATATTATGGTTTGGGCGTGTTTTCATGTTCTCACATGGTTAAAAATATGCTTTTTGTTTACAGTGGTATTCCTAAAATAACCATCCGTGTACTCGACCGAGCACACCCCACTCGGGCCTAGTTTAATAATCTGCTGTTATTTCACGTTAATTATCTACATTAGATAACATTGGATTGCGGGAGTGATTTGGGAATCTGAATATGTAACAAAAAACTTGTGTGCCCTGTGATTCGCTAAATGATTCAACGTCTTGGCTTCAACCCGATTGTCATTTTCTGTTCTCTGAAGCTAGGGGGATTCTACATAAAACTTTGCTTTTTTAGCTCATTTCGTTACTTCGCGTCTGAAACAGGCCGAATTGTCGGAAGGTACATTCAAAAGAGTTAGGCTTTTGCCGCATTTACCCTTCTGTATGGGATTTAATTCCAGTTTACTGTTGTTTACATGATCGCGATGAGATACACATCTTCGCTCCCGAAGTTTAGTATTTCCATTTCGCGAAGGAGAAAGTCAGAAACACTTCATCCACGTGACACATCTATTGCAAAACAAGAGTCAAAGTAAAAATAAATTCCTGTCTGCTAACATTCGTTGTGTAGAACGAACCCTCCATTATGTGTAAACGGAGAGCTCGGAGTATATACGAGATTTTGCAGCCACATTACTGTAATCCTATCACAAACAGGTTTCGCTTATGTTTGGTGTTTCCCTGGTGTTGATCCGTTCTTCGTTTAGGATTTATCACTAAAACCAATAGCAATTACACAAGAATAATAGAAATATTGATCCATGTGATGGAGAAAGTCATCACAATCACTTTTCCTGAGCCATGGTGATGGAATTTTAGCACCTTCGCTCTTTAGCATTTTTGGAGTTTAGGGGCACTTTTAATTAGCTCTGAAATACGAATTGTTTTAAAAAGATCGCTAAGAATTAAGGGTTATTTGCAGCAGAGACAGCAATCAAATGAACGTGCCAAGGTTATCTGCCGTGTTGTAAGCTTTTTTCTTCGGCTTCTGTCCCTGTAATTACACCATGTGTATGGTCCATAGGCTACTTATTTCTTTCAGGTTATGTGGTTTATTTCTGATGTCTTCTGTGTAACTGGCATAACAAGTGTTGACATTTTTGTAAGAAGGTTTTAAGAAATGTAGTCTCCACAGTTTCTGTATCTTCATATGTTGTGGTAATGATTGTGAAATGCACTTGGATACTTCTGATTTAAGTATCTAACCGGATGAGACAAAGATGTTCTTTTAAAAGGCCTAGGGGTTTGTTATAAAATACACATTGGAACTTTTGTAATATTAGCAGCTCATTCATTAGTGTGATCATTAATACAATTGCTACATTTAATTGACAAAGGTTTGCTGTTTTTGAGTAACTTTTATTTCATTGTTACCATAAAGCAGGAAATGTTTTTTTAATTAATAATTAATGCTTAAATGCTACCAGTGCCATGTGCATTAGGCATTTGTGTAACAAAGTACTTAATTGCTGTAATCATTTCCAGTTTGGAAGTGGCTTTGTGCCTGACTGCTTGCTAATTGACAATGTAAGGGTAATGCTATGGTTCCAATTGCAAAGCACTTTCAGCCAAGTCCAGTTCTGCAAGCTGCAGTCTGTTCTAATAATCCAGTGCCACCTACCGGATATATTCCAGTCCAGGTACTCACTACTGAAATATTAAATATGTATCCTGTCTGTTTCATACATCTTGTGTGTATCAGACATTGCACTCTGTAAAGACTTGACTTGGACAAAAACACTTTGCAATGAGATGGAAGGCCTTTATTAGTTACCTAAATGAACAAACCTTCAGACACTTGAGTTCTAGAATCCAGTCTTTCAATTAAATTCCAAGTCTCTCGGTTCTCTCGCACACGGAAGGCTTGTGGAGTTTAAGCTAAGCGCTTGGTGGGTGCTGCCTTACAAACTGTGCACGATCCGATCATCACCTGCCTTTGCAGCACTGATCGAGTCGATCACGCAGAATGGGCAGCCCTCCGGCCAGAGTCAGCAGCCCAGGCCGGGCGAGAGTGCGGGACCCCGCCACCGCAAAGGGGGCGAGGAAGGAAGGCCCCCCAGCGCGGAGAGGACAGCAGAGACGGGCAAAAGCTACACATCGGAACAGCTGGATGCCGTGAAGAGGTAGATTTATTGAGTGTGGTTTCCCGTGTCGCCATTCAGAAAGCATTGCTACCTGAGCTCCTTATTCTGTTCACATGAAGCATGGGGTTTCTCAAGTATCGGGTGTCCATAAAGCCAGAGCCTATACCAGCAAGCAGCGGAGACGAGGCAGGAAGCTCCCGGGTTGGGACGCCAGTCCATTACAGCTCACACCAGGGTCGGTTTTCCCTACCGGCATGTCTTTGGATTGTGGGAGAAAACTGCAGCACCTGGAGAAAACCCATATGAACACAAGGAAAAAACAAAGATGCCACCCAGATAGCCCCCAAGTCCAGAATTGAGCCCACCCTCCCAAGGCAGCAATGCTAATGCAGGCATTGCGGCTTCCTTTCTGGACAGCTTGAGTTGCCTCTGCATTCTACCCGTTGTTAAGAAGTACAACCTGATTTGTTTCTCTTGTGCCCTGTCCAGAATAAAACAGTGCAAAGACTATTATGAGATTCTTGGGGTGAGCAGAGACACCACAGACGAAGACTTGAAAAAGGCCTACAGAAAGCTGGCTCTGAAATTCCATCCAGATAAAAACCACTGCCCAGGAGCGACCGAGGCATTTAAAGGTAAGTGTACCAATAAAGATTCATTTTAGAACTATTCACCTTTTCTAATGATGCATTGATGCTGCCTGCTGTTTCTCTTTTGTGGGCTGTAGGTGTCAGCATTGAGTTGTTTTCATTGTGATTATGTCCATTGACAGACCTTATGGTCAAAGTGGTGAGGCAGCAAAACATAAGCTGCAAGAGAATATAATATGATTGGCTCCTTCTTGCAGCGTATTTTGGCATTGAATGCCATAAAGAGAATTGGATGTCCCTGTATTGAAATCCACGCCCTTGGTTTTGTCAGATTTTGTATTTTAGCATCTCATTTTAATTGATGATCCATAATCTGTTCGTTGATAATTCTTTATATACATGGTAACAAAAAGATATTGATGTCCTGACTCTACAAGTCCCTTTGCTTGAGACGGGGAGGTGAACTCTCCCTTTTCTCCAGCTCAGTGTTGCTCAGGTGTGTTTTATTTCTGCTTGGAGCTATTGGCAATGCCTACGCCGTGCTCAGTAACGCAGACAAACGGAAACAGTACGACCAGTACGGGGAAGAGAAGGCCCACGCGTCCCGGCACGGACGCTCCCACGCAGATTTCCACCGCGGGTTCGAGGCGGACATTTCTCCCGAGGACCTCTTCAACATGTTCTTCGGAGGTGGTTTCCCCTCCAGTAAGTTCCTCTCGGATCCAGGGAAACGCACAGATAATAGAGATGCGCGTTGTTGTGGGGGGGGAGTTCAAATGAATGATTTGCCTTTTCATTGCAATACTTTGGACTTTCTACATGTGATTATAAGAAACAAGCCACTGTAAGTTATAAAACCTTACTGCGAGCATGGAAGACTGATGGCAGGGGTTGTGCCAGCATATATATTAATGGAAGAAATCCAAGCATTGTAGAGCCGAACTCCAGGGTTAATAACACTTTGCAGCTGTGGCTGTATGAAACTTTTATGGCTTTGTGAAATTTTCTTTTTAAAATTCAGTTGTTTGTTTTTACTATTTTTGTTTTACTAATGTATCCTTGATAATTGTAGTTGTACCTAATTCTCCTCCTCCCCCCCTTCTGAAGGTAATGTTCACGTGTACAGTAATGGCCGAATGCGCTACACATACCACCAGAGGCCAGAGAGGAGAGAGCAGCAGGGAGACGTAAGTGTCTTACCTTTTCTTTGATTC